ACCTTTATCTCTAGTTTGGGGTGGCTAGGATTTGCTAGTTTAACTTTTGGGTTTCGCTTTCGAGTATTGGCAATTGTCTCGGATCTTTACTAAAAAGTTCAACTTCTGGGCGCGGAGCATTTCTCCATCTCTTTTAGCGAACGTGAACGGGATTGTCACGAATATAATAAATACATCTAAATTCTTCAGTAACGATTTTTTTCCAACCAACCTTGTAGGCGACCTCTCTCATGAACTGTTTAGCCGCTGGTGTCCATATTGCTGGCACCGTCAACACCCACTGAATGTCATTGGCGCTGTAGGTTTCATCTCCAGTTCTGGCACGAATGATTTTAACTGCTTCATCTTTCATGAATTTTATTGAAAGAGAAAATACGATCAAAGCTTCAACCTTTTTGCCATTAGCTGCTGTCAGCTGGGTTGTTCGGTTCAAGTCCTACGTTAAGTGGAAATAAGAACTCATTCTGTGACGAAAATAAAGAAAATAGAAACTTCGCATCATAAACGTTAAGAAACAGCCCAGGAAAACAAAATTAAATAAAAACTAATGACTAAGTAGAAAATTGGTTAAAAGCTCAGTCAAAACTCTGAAGAGAAATTTACAGAAAGTAACGTTGTTAACGTATTTGTTCATTTTATATTTAAAAACCTATAATTAACAAAAATGTGATCAATTAATCATTTATTCAGCTACATGAAACCAGTTGAAAAAACCCTTTGAACTAAACGTTTCCTCTTGTTACTGGTCAAACTTTATTGTAAGAACAATACCTGCCTGGAGTGTAAGAAGAAATAAAGTTACTTGTCAGACCACACAACAACATGCAACCACAACCCTGACAATGTTAGTTACCTTTGATCTGTGCAGCTCCATTTTGAAATGTTTTAAGTAAAAGTACTCCTTTTCCTCCCCACGAGTAAAGTGCACATATTTGTCATCAGCTTCGTATCCGAAAGAATCAAACTCCTTATTGGGACGAAGAAGAATTGATGTAGGGGTTTTTAGAGTGCTACGTCCTTCCTCGTTTCCCCATTCTCTGTTCATGTGAATTCCTCCTTCGCCTCTTTTGTCATTAAAAGAAAATGCGAAACCGCTATAGGTTGTTCCAAAGTCAATAGCGACCACTGCCACGTACTTTGAGGTTGGGGCCATCCTACTAGCTGTTACCTGGAAGGAGGAAGGTGAACGTTGATTTCAGGCTATTTCAAGGGAAATAAATCAAGAAAAAAGAAAAACCTGCAAATCACAACGCTTAGCAATTTTCAAATATTCCAAAACAGACTGTTCTGCTCGAAAATGGCTTTAAGGGCTTTGGTCTCTATTTCAGACTTGCAATTCAAAATTTACTGGTCTAATAGACTTCAAGAAGACTTGCTTTTAGACCAGCCATTAATTTTGTGAGTTAATGGTCATTTGTGACGTTTTTTTTTCTTTTTTCTTTAACAGCACATTAAAGAGCTTCAGTGAACCTATTTAAGGGGTTCGGTCAAAGATAGGTTATAAACAATTATTGGATGAGGTTTTTGTGATATCCAGAATAATCAAGGTCGAGGTAGGGGTTATCAGCCGAAACCGAAAGCTGAGGTTGATAACCCTTACCGAGAGCTTGATTATTCTGGATATCACAATAACCGAATCTAAATGGAAGCTAAATGGAAGTCATGTTTTTGCTTCTTCACTGAGGGCAAGCAGCACAAAGCGCGCGAACTTCACATGATTACCCGTGACCTTGAGTGTCCTTGACATGATTATTGTATAATCTGCAGAGATGACGTCACGGGCGCTGATTTCGAAAATCCACTGTACGCTTTCGACCAATCAGAAAAGAGATAGTGATTTCAATGTATAACAATTAAACTAATCTGTGTTCCATTTTTTGTGATTTCGCCGAGAAAAGGTTCTTATTGTCAATATTTAAATTAGAGATTAAAACTGCCTTATCTAACTGATTATGTGCTATTGACCATACCCGTCGTAAAATCACAAGATATAAAACGATCGAAAAATCGACAAAATCAAGTAATTTGTCCGTCCAGATTGCAACGTCAATTTTTTTTATGAATTTCGTAACTCACTAACTGACAATCAGACGGGGAGTGCGAGGTTCCGATCGGCTGATAGGTGGCGAGGGTAGGCGAGGCCCCAAGCCACGACTTCTCGTACATTTTTCGAACCACCTAGGGGAATAGCAATGTTTTTGTTAAGGGCGTGAAAATATTGCTTTCAACGATCGGTAGGTTAAAAAAGAACAGGGTTTTAATACCTAATAATCAAAGTCAATAGAGACCGTACGCGTAAGCAAGCGGTCTAAGACTTTTACTACTGAATGAACTATAAAACAAAAAAAAAATTGATTCAATTTTGGAAACTTTAGGAAAATGTAAAGGCTAAACCTTCTGGTGCCGTCTATTTAAACAATAGAGTGTTTCTGTCGAGAAACTATCGACTGATAGTTGCCCCGTGAAAATTTGATGTTCTTACAACAAATATTTGCCCGAGAAGCGAAGCTTCGAGTACCATTGGCAAGTTACTTGCCAAACATTTGCATATAGGAGTGTTTTACTTCAGTTCTTAGTATTTATCGACATGTACCTACTATTTTATTTTGATTGTTTTGTGATAGACATGATTCTGTAAATAATTATTGAGCACTTAGCAAGTTTTGATGACTTGTAACTCTACCAGTATACCCTGATGGACATTCGACCCAAGTGGCTCATCCTGCCCAGCCCTGAGCAGTCTTAGCAATGCAACAATTAGAACAAGTGAAAATGATGAGCGGGAAAAAAAAAATAGTAGTATGTAGATAACAGTCAGTGTGTTATCGAGATTCAGAATTCTGTTATGTCACAATGATACAGAGCGAGGGAGTGACTTTTTTGCTATTTTTTCTCTATTTGTATTATCAGAATGACGACCACTTACGTCAACACATAAGAGAGTGTATTGATATGCGCAAATGAAATATCCCCATTTATAACCCACGCTTAATTTTCGCGCGATTCTATTGGTTACTTTACGTCACGTGGTGCAAAATTACTGGGCAGTTATCACGCAAAAACCTCCGCCTGATTCGATAACTGCCCTGCAACTAGTGTTTCTGTCGAAAAGAAACAAAGCTAAAAAGAATAAATCCAGCTCTAGAATTTCGCCTGTTCATTTTTACTATTTTTCATGGAAGAAAAACAAACCCTTTTCATGGAATTCGCGGATAATGACATTAAAAAAAATCTCATCGCCAATGCTGTTCCGAAAAGTAGAAAAGAGTCAATGAAATATGCAGAAAATTAATGGGAGGGTTATGAAATAAATAAACCCCTTTCTGGCTAGCTGGTATGTTGGCTGATAATGCCCTTGGTTGAGAGATTGTCTTCAAAATTTCACATTTGGTCTGGAAGCTTCGCTTCTCGGCCAAATATTCATTTTTCGGACAATATCTCAGCCGCGGACATTATCAACCGACACACCAGCCGCCTGAAGGGGTTTATTTACTAAATGGTCTTGATTTTGTATTCTATATATTTGCAAATTATTATTCTGGTCTATTGAATTATGATAAACCATCATTATAGTTGACTTTGGTTTTGACTGTTGACATTTCTTTTCAGGATTCATTATTACGCTAGATGAGCATATTGTCAGGATGCTATGAAATAGGAGTTTATATTATGCAGGAGAGTATAGGCAGCATAGATCAAATTCATGGACTGCTTCTCGTTGAGGCGAGAGCTTGGCATCTGACCTTTGCGATGGTGATAAAAATGATTCAACTTCGAATTTGGTGGCATCTTCTACTGTCAGAGAGTAGACCCTTCTGCAGACACCAGTCCTGACCTGGGCCCATCCTCTGGAGGTTCCTCTACACTACCATGGTGCTAGTGTGATGTCGGTGGTTTCCGGCAACGTTCGGACATCGTGAAAACAAGGGTGACTGAAGAATGTGGAACAACTGCGCTCGACGAGGGGTATTTTTATTTATTTTGACCACGTATAAAATTACCTTCAAATTGAAGGAGAGAAACTTACCATTGTATTTTCTGGTGCTTCATATTCATGTTGTTATTTGATAGTCACATATTCTATGTAAGTTGGCTTATATATCACTCAGATTAACGGTTCATTTGTATTTGCAGCTGAAGATGAATGGTGGTCGTCCGAAACATGTTTTTCAAACTTTTGGAACGGTACTGCTCATGCGTCACTCTCGCCCGTCTTTCGTTTTGATATTTAAAGGAGAACGGAAGGTGAAAAACGAAGTTATCGTTGCATATTTGCAACAGAGCAAATAGTTTGTTT